TTATAGATAAAAAACTTGTGTGCTTTTGACTTGGACCAATAAGCATACACCTGGCAACCACCCATTATTCCCTAGTAATCACAAAGCAATCACGTCTGAATCGGGAGAGAAATCTGCACAGATCAAGCACTGTTTACGAGCGAAAACAGTCCGAAACCATTCTAAACAAATATGTGGATTTTGATGTGAGATGACAACAGAGGATGGACTTTTTCACTGGAAGTAGCGGTTTTTATGGATTATGGGGTATTTTGGTGAGAAGTGACGTTTACCTTGCAGAACACGTGTGTTTAGTCACATGATGAAATCATGAGTCTTACTCTCAAAAACAAGGGCACCGGTAAACATTCCATAGACTAGACTTTCTCTAAGCCTCCTGCAGACGGTTATACCATCCCGTCTGACAAAGCATCTGTCTTAAAACCTTTGTTTTTTTCATCCACTCATGTCATTATGCAATACTGTTTGATTAGCTGTTCTTATGTACACAGGCTATATGCAGCTTTTACACTCTGTACATACTCTTCCTTGTAAGATTGCATTCATGCATTCAACTGTTGCTCCATTCTAATATCTGCTGCAAGTCTGTCCTTAATTATCTGCTGAAAAGAATATATATTAGGACAGCAGATTAGTGCTTAATGATAATTCTTGATAAGAAATTGTGTTTGTGAACAATATAATGTACATACAAGTTTATTGTAACTGTGTCTGAGTTAAGAGCATTTATTGCCTTAAGATAAAGTATGCCATTACTGACCTATGTCCTAAATCTAGGAAAATAGGTCTGCTTAATGCAAAATATATATTCAACAGCTGTTAAACTGAAGTTTAATCAGTTAATTTAATCATTTACCACTGTGATTTTTAGCATCACATCCTGTCTGTATATTAATACAAAAACCATTGCAAATGTAATTTTGTCATTGCAGTTGAATTAATCATTTTTCTTTTTCATTTTTCTTTGATTATTTGCAGCTCATTAAGACACATCACCTGCTTCCCAGCCGAAACTACATTTTTGGCTATCACCCTCACGGCATCTTTTGTTTTGGTGCTTTTTGTAACTTTGGGACTGAGGCCACAGGATTCTCCAAGATATTCCCTGGAATCAAGCCGTCTCTTGCCACATTGGCTGGAAACTTCCGCTTGCCAGTGTTTAGGGATTACCTGATGTCTGGAGGTACATATAACCGCATATTAGTTTAATTTTGTGGATTAAAGCTTTCATGTATTCATTGCCTGCAGTTGCATCATGTGACACTGAGTGAAGATCAAACTGAATCAATGCATGAAGTTCAGTTTTGGCTGATTAAAAAGAGGACCATACTTGTCCTCTCTGTGCTTTAGATAAGAATCCTGTAGTCTATCAAGGACCTCTGAGCTTTGTCCTATTGCATAGAGAAGCACAGCCCTGCATGTGCTGATGTCAATATTTTTTGAAGAACTTCTGTTGAAACCTGCCCTATTGTACCCGCAGATTGATAGAATTTTCTTCCACTCTCTTATAAGAAACAAACGTCAATAGTTTCTTAAAAAATGTCAAACAAATGTTTCCTCAAAAATTCATATAATATAATATAATATAATATTGACATTAAATGTAAATGTAAATTCAATAAATTCTATTCAATTCAGTCAAGTCGGACTTCATAGTATTTAAAACGGTGGTTATACAAATGGTAATCAATCCGCAAAAAATAAATAAATAAATAAATGAACCTGGTTACTATACTTTTACTAGGCTATAATATAACCATGGTTAATTTTTGTAAAGGAATAAGAAATGAAGAATGACAGTCGTAGTTGTAGACCATGAATTTAAAAATGTTTGTCAGTCGAACAAAAGTTTTTTGACCTAAATATTTTGACCTAAACATATTTAACCTACTTGAAGTACCCGCTGAGATTTTAAAGGGGTCATATGATGCTTTTTTAAAGATCATTATTTTGTGTATTTGGTGTAACAGAATATGTTGACATGCTTTAATGTTCAAAAGACACATTATTTTTCAAATACTGTACATTATTGTAGGTCCTCTATGCCCCGCCTCTCTCAAACGCTTTCAATAAGTTAACAACACACTTGCATTTTTATGGTTCTCTGATGTTGATTAATTGTCATATTAAACAAATACAGGTAAACAAATAAAATATTTCAGCTTTTTTATTAAGTGTTTTGTTTTATTAATTGTTTTTATTTGAAAGTTTTTATTTAGACTAATAAAATTTTACATTTCTGTGATTTGTTTATTAGCTTTTCATCAACTCAAGAACGTCCTGCAGTTCCTTCATAAACCCCAGTTTGGGAAACCCTGGTATAAACTTGACCAAAGACTCTATTCCCTTCTATTTCTCAGGTATCTGCCCAGTAAACAGAAACTCCATTGACTTCCTCCTGTCTAGTAACGGTACAGGCAACGCTGTGGTCATTGTGATTGGAGGGGCTGCAGAATCTCTGTACTGTGCCCCAGGAATGAACTCCGTCACGCTGAAAAAACGCAAAGGCTTTGTGAAACTGGCCCTCAAGCAAGGGTGAGAACTACAAATCATTTCCCTCACCACCTTCCCAGCATTGTTTACTTCAGCACTACTGGCTTACTCCACAAACATAAGTCAATAAAGTTCTTTGTGCCGTCTAGGTTTATGTTAGCTGGTAGTAGTAGCATGAGTTTTTGTTTCAGGTGAAGCAACACAAAGCCTTTAGAAGTAAGCCCATGTTGGGTTAGCAAAGCAGTTTGGAGTGAAGTAGCCTATTAAACCAGTATTTTGTGATCAGAAATGCAGAGAAACAACATGAAATCTGTCAACATATTTGCTCTGAATTGAGCTACATCATTACAAAGCAATAGTGTGGGGGAAGTCGTGGCCTAATGGTTAGAGAGTCGGACTCGTAACCCAAAGGTTAGTATGAAAATATGAAAATAGTAATACTGCAATCCTCAACTATTCAAATAGTTGAATAGAATAAATAAGCACTTTTAGACAAGTTCTTAAAGGGGTGCTATTTTGCTTTTTCACTTTTTCAACTTTAGTTAGTCTGTAATGTTGCTGTTTGAGCATAAAAAAGATCTGCAAAGTTACAAAGCTCAAAGTCCACTTCAAAAGGAGATATTTTATTTAACAGAAATCACTTTTCAGAAACTACAACGAACGACTCGTTTGGACTACAACGCATATTTAGGTTTACAAACAGGTGATTTTTGACGATGGCTCTTGGTGGCGTACGGTTCAAAAGAGACTTCAGAAGATTTTAGGTTTTGCCCCCTGCCTGTTTCATGGCTGTGGACTGTTCTTCCCTGAGTCCTGGGGTCTTGTACCATATTGCAAACCCATCGCTACTGTTGGTGAGTAATGCCATGTTTGATGAGTTATGGCCATATTTTCTTCTAGATAATCAAGACTTTTCTTGTTAGCATTTTCATATTAGAGTTTGATAAAGAAAAGAAAATACGATAAACATTATTATAATGTATTAAATATGTATGTATATGTGTATATATAGATTTTGATAAAGTAAATAAAATATAATATTGATAAAATAAATAAATAATAATTTAAATATATATTTATATATATATGTATATACGTATATGCACACGTGTAATACATTGTTTAATACATTAATTTATTTACTTAATTAAATTATTATAATTTATTTATTTTATCAAAAATAAATATAATAATATGATAAATATACGTAAATAATAAATATGATGTTTTTAAAATACGATATTTTAAAATTTTATATGATATTATTTACAGGTTTTCATGCGGATATTTAAATATATTTACATTTGTTTATAACCTTTAAATCCTATATATGTGTATTTGAATCCTACTAGTTTTAAACTGGCACAAAGCTGTTTACAAGGGTTATAATGAGACAACGTAAATATAGTTAAATTCAGTTCAAGGACAGTCTCTATGTTGATAGAACCGCTCTTTCAGTTTACGGTCGATATTTGCTGACATCAGAACCACATTAATGGTTAAAATTTAGTCATTTGTTGACATGATCTTGGTTTAACTGGAGTTTAATGTTCTGTGAATGAAGTTTTTTAATGTGTCTTTTTTCTCCAGTTGGTGAACCCATCACAGTTCCAAAAATCGAGGAGCCGAGTCAGGACGTCATAGATATGTACCACGCCATGTACATCAGGTCCCTCAAGTCACTCTTTGACAATTACAAGACCCGTTTTGGTCTAAATGAGAGTGACACCCTTCAAATTCAATGAAAGACAGCATTGAGGAATAAAAACTTTATAAAAGAACACTCTGGAACATCTGACTCCCAACTAAAGTGCCTGTTCAGAGAAGGTGAAAGAAATCAATGCTGTTTCTATTCATTCATTACAGTAAACTGTAATAGTGTACAACTGTACAGTGAATCTAGCCTGTGTCACTTCTGCTTATTGCCACTGGGTGGCAATATGCAATAAATACTACACCGATTGCTGTCAAGTGTAATCTAGATTTCATCGCTGGTGGACATAAATTCCTCAAAATATGGCAATACATTTACAAGTAATGTATTTAAGGTTTGCCCCCATTATTTTACTGCACAAGCAATGCAATTATTGTGAGTTTTGCCTCACTAAAAAAACCACAGGGTGGTTGTGTAACCAAAGAGTGGAGGTGAAGCAAAAGTGTGATTAATTTGTTGGAATAAATGTAAATATGACAGGATATTTTGCTTTTAAGAAAATTATCCTATTTGATCATGGCTTGAAGGTAAAAGTGAAGTCTAGAAGGTGAAGATTATAATGAATACCTGTAAATGTGTGATAGTATTACCAGAATGCTAATGAATGCGGGTCATTTTTTTTCTCAAACACTATTGATAATTCACCACAGAAGTATTCATTTTGCATATACAAGTTGCACATACATGGTTTGTTGAGCTCAAGCAAATAGTTTACCTGCTACTAACATTGCAACCTTCAAATAAGTTCAGTTTTCACCATGTCCCCCAGTTACAATCAGGCATTTATTTCAGAAACAAATGCTGGAGAGACCTCAAACGTGTTTGCATGCCAAATCAAACAAGTGTTTTAACTTGAATTCAAGTGCCAAAATGTATGTATGCAATCATTTTTAACCTGAGATATTAATGTTTTTTCTGTGATTGTTTATTTAATGGATTCAGGGGACCTGCAGCTCTTGATGGGTGGATAATAAGCAATTACTGTACATGCTGACATTTAACCAAGGTTTTACAGTTGTGAATATGCAATAAATGCTGCAGTGTCCATCTCTGATATCAGTTGTCAATGATGTCTATGAAATCCTGATTCTTTAAAGTCAACTTTTATATATTTTCAGAATAAACATTTATGGAAAAGTACTATGTGCTGTCTTGTTTTGAGCCACAACACTGTCCTTGACACAACATTTTTAAATTAGAGATTTATACAACAGTTCCAGATTATTAGTCCAAAGTCCATGGGTCATTTTTAAAAAATGTAACAATAAGGCTATATAACAAAATCAGTATCTTCTGAACAAATAAAACATAATAAATGTTGATGTTTTATTTTCATGTAAATTCAAATAAAATTTGGTAAACCAAATAACACATTCACAGAAAAATCCAGTATATCTTTAAGATACATTAAAGGATTTATCACAGTAGCATGTATAGACATTAACAAAGCAACACATGCCACTACAGTGAACAAAAATCTATTTCTGGGGCCCAGAAACTAAGATGGATCTTCATTTGGGCACAAAAGTGTAACTGGGACCTCTTATTTGATTGGCTCATATTAGTGAGGTGGGGCACACAGCCATGACTGAAAGATATTGATTTATTTGCTGCATCTAGGTCACTAATAGTTTACTTATGTTAAATATTTCACAAATGTAAAATTCTCCAACTAAATGTTGTTTATTATATATATAATATATAATAATAATAATAAATAAATAAATAAAATAGTTATTCTGAAATGAACAAAAAATTAACTAGGTCACTCCATGCTTTACAAAAACCTTTAATTTTATCTAAGAAATTAAAAATATTTAAGTTATATGGGCAATACCTCATTGCCTATATTATGTATATTTCCATATCAAATTTACTGTATTTTTGAAAAGTGAAAGGACAACATTTTCAAGACTGTTAATTTTTTTATTAGTAAAGTTGGGCAATGGCGCCCTCTTGTGCTTCATGCACACTTTTTATTTAATAATAATAATAATAAATTGCTTGTTATATAAAGATGAATTAATTTGTAATGATTTACAAAAAAAATATTTGTTTAGCGAACTGCACTTTTGTCGTTTTATAAGTACAAAAACCATGGAGGTTTATTGTACATTATACATTTTATGCTCGTATAGATGCAGTGCCCACCCTGATATTGCGTTTAACGGGAGAACAGACGGTTTTCATTCAGCACTCCGCCCGTTGGTGTCACGTTACTCAAACACTCGGCCCCTCAGTTCCTCATATTTGTAGGAACACAGAGCACAGCATGAGTTTCTAAAGGCATCCTTCCGCCCTTTTCCTTTTGATTGACAAGCGCTCCACCAATCAACTCAGAATATCCATTTACGTCACCAAACATCTATTTGAGTGAAAGCTTCCTCAGCCAATAGGCATCATGCGAGGGTTTGCCGACCAAGGTCGCGGTAATGGCTTCCTAGGCAAGACTTACTTTGTATATGCCGCCGTAGGGACCCTAGTAGCTGCGGTTAGCGGGCTCATTGTACATTATATTACAGATCTGCACGTTTGCGAAGAAAGCTCGGAATCTGACACCTTCGTGCCTGGGAGTTTCTCGCCAATGTGGCTGAGTTGTACGGCTGAATGAGGCGATCGCCTGTGGTACCGTAGAAGGATGAACTCCATCGCCGGTCGGGATCTCGCAGTGTCCGCTGGAGCTGTCAGCAGCAACCCCGGAGCAGCATCATCCAGAGTCCTGCATGTGGAGCTCACATCACAACAGGTACACCTGCAGCATCCAGCCATATGATCCATATGTGCCCGCATATATAGTGTGTGAATGTTTAGTGGATCTGCTTGTGCATGTGTCACATGTCACCGGATGATCACAACACGGGGCCTCCATATCCAGTTAAGCTCTGGTCAGCATTTATGAATGCAGTGGAGTAAGAAATAGAAATAGAAATATGAGAAGCATTAAATAAGACGTTGTTAATATTAAAGAGCTGGCTTGTTCATTAAATATACTAGACCGGTTATACAGTGTAGTGTCTGGCTGTCTTGTCACGGTGGATCTTCAAACTCCAACACAAATACAAAATAAACCCGACAGCATCCTAATATTTGTTATTATTCATGCTTCAAAGATTTTGAAACTGGCTAGGAAGGTAGTGGTGGTGCTGTGCTTAACTCAATTGCACTGCAGCGTTTTGACAGCACTGACATAAATGACTATAAATGATGTCCTGCTTTTAGATTGATTTGGCACACATTGTTTTGGGGGTCTAGTCTACAGAAAGACCCTAGTTATGAATGTTTGGTTCACTTGGTTTCTTTTTAGAGTTTAGTAGTTGACATTAAATGGTTTATCAGCCAGAATAAAAGTATTATTGTGTTTATATTGTTTTTGTTTATTTTTAAAATTTCTATTAATAAATATTTCAGGCAATACAGCCATATTGTGTGTTGTTGATGTAATGCTTGATATTTCCATTAGAGAGTAGCTGTGATTGTGTGTGTTGTAACAATTGCAGTGTTGCAAAACACACAGCACTCATACATGCTCTGAATCTGAGTGTAGACTTCAGTTATGTGGAATGATAGTCATGTCCTGCAGAAATCGTCTGTTTAATCACATCACTGGTTCCCGGGAAGTGTTTTGGGGATCGCAGGTTTTCCTGTTAAGCAGTGTGTGTTGATGACTTGGCGTTCTGTGAGGGGAAATGTTGCATTACTCAATGCTGCAAACATGTTGTGTCATGGCTTTAAGCAAAGAGTGGTTTCTTGCCAGAAGAACCAAACCAGATGTTTTTTTTTTTTTGCTATATATAATATAATATATTATAATATAATGCAATATTAAATATTTACATTTAGGTTTATTTTTCTTTTAGAGGGTTTCATGTAGGGCTGTATGATTAATTGAAATATAATTGCGATATGGCTTAATATGATTATCAAATGCAACATGCACCAACCATCTAACCAATCTTGCAATGAAAAGTATTTATAAACCGGCTGTTGTCAACAAAAGAGAACCTTTAGGGGCTCCCTGCATTTTTTTTTTGTTTCAAAAAAATTAAAACATTCATAAATATTTGTATTGCAATTTTACAGTTGTACTGTACAATAGAATAATAGCAATTATTATTGTTTTACCTTAAATGCTCATTTTTTACTTCACAGTGAGATATTACAAATATTGTAATATTTGTAACATATTATAATATACCATAACATTGTGAACAAGACATATTTCTTTTTTTACATTGTAATTTAGTAGTAGTATTAATAATTGTCTGTAATAATTTTAATTAATAATTGTTTAGTAGTAGTAATAATAATTGTTTCATAGTCATATTGATATATAATCTGAAAACTTTTCGTAGCGCTACAAACAAGCATTGCATTTTTTGCAAGCATTTAAAAAAAAATCACATATGAAATTTCAATTGAAATTTTTATCAGGGAAATTTTACAGACTACAACCTTTTCATCTATGATAGCCATCTCCTGTTCGGTTAAAAACAGAAAGCACTGTTACCAAAAACTGAAATGTGAAACCAAATGTGAAGTCCCTATCACATGACAGTGGCTCGTCAGAGCTTGTCGCACCTGTCTGAATTTTATTTTACGGGAAACGTATGGGAAAGTTCATTTTTGTTATGACACCAATTGCTTTGTGACTCACACCAGTCACTTGTGACTCTCTTACTGCTTGAGGCAAAGTCCTAAAGGACCACTGTTATGGACTACAGATGACCTCTGTCACACCCTTGAACGCTGTTCTTTTGTTGTGCAGCAGAAGAGCATTGCTATTTATTTACTGTGATGCAATTCATCAACTTCAGCATTAAGTCTAGCTTGATTTGGTGTTTCCGTTTCATTAAGCTGTTTGAAACAGCTGTGAACCGCCTAATAAGGGAAAGTTGATCATACACTAGCTTGTTTGTTCCTGTGCTAGTTAAGTAGCCTGTTAACCTAGTAAATAGTACCACTGAAATTCTGCATTTCAGAATCTGGGACAAACTGACCCTGGATGTTCCTCAGTGTTTTGTTGTCTGAAACAAGACAGAAATGGGGGAAAACTGAACAAAGTGTGGTGTTGTTCCTGTAGCTTCAATAATCCTGTGGGGCATCCCATGACTTAGATTTAGTATTTAATGCCTCACGGCCGGTGCTGGAAATTCTCCGTGGCTGGTTGTGATGAAAGCCGGTCAGGTGAAAACTTTAGTGTGCTGAACTCTCAGATAATGGCTGTGGCCCTGTGCTTTAAATCCGGCCCTTGTGAATGGTAACTCTGGAGTTTCTCTCCATCTCATGCTCTGTAGATTAGCATCATGAGATCAACTTTATCTTTTATGTGTGAGGGGGGAAAAGTGTATATAATTGTTATTATATTATTGTTATTGTTATAATTAATAAGTATCACTTTTTTTTTATCACTTTCCTACTACTTGTTTCACTTCTGTTTCAGTTTTTATAACCATTTCTTTGTATAGGTAGTATTTATAAAGTTTAAGTTTTTAGTTTTGGATCTGTTTTTAGTTGTTTTAATACTACAATTGATTGCTTCTGTTGTCCTCATTTGTAAGTCGCTTTGGATAAAAGCGTCTGATAAATGACTGAATAAATAAATAAATATAATTGTAATTATTTGTGAAACTCTCATGGTTTTTGATCAATATTTACAATGAAATGGTAACTTTTTACAATTTTTTAAATAATTTTATTTAATTTTTTTAATTTAATTTTATTATTCTTTTTTTTTTTACACAGACTCCAGTTGGAAATCCCATGCTTTAGACAGTTTCAACAGTAAGGAGTGATTTATGCAGAATGCATCCTTGAAGTCAGTCTAACCAGTTTTTAATTTCTTTTATATGTAAACATTCTGGCTGTGTAATTATTTGAGTGTTTGGGACTCATCATGTTTTTTTCAGTGTCCTGTGCCATTAGCGGCTAGTGTTTAAGATGCCGAGTCAAGTTGAAGTTTTACAAACACATCTTGAGACCCCTGCATTCTGTTTCATTCTATTATGCTCCATCTAGCGGTTTAATGTAAACACCATCAAAGAAATGTTCACATTCATGGTCGGGTGAACCTGAAGCATGTCAAATTACACAAGGCTTCTGACTACTTATTTATGCAACATCCTTTCTGTGGTCACATCGTAAACCTATTTTATAGGGTCTCTTTTTTTTTTTTTCTTCTCCTTTTTAAGCTACGAAAGCTCTTATTATGGTAAACCTTTCCATGCCTACGAGATCTTTTTTTCCCTTGGCTCCTTCAAAGCAGTGGATTTGTGCCCGATGTGCGGCATTGATGTCACGTTTTGGTCAGGGTGGACGACTTGGCTTTGTGAGGACTTGGCTTTGGCATTTCGTCACCATGTGACGTGACACTCACAATGATGTTTTGTGTCTGTGTGTTGGTCTGTTCCTGTTCACTGTCAGTTATTTATGATGAAAAATGGAGAACTGTGAAAACTACTAAAACTACTACTAAACATTGAGATTTTATTGCATGTGTGATCCAGTAAATGGGAGACTTGATGTCAGTGAGTTTGGTCATGATGATTTCCATTGACCGCTCAAATGGCATTTGCAAAAAGCCACTGTAAGCTCATTTATACTGAATGTTTTTTTTTTCACATATGTGTTTGTGTCCGAGTATGTACAGACCTGTTGATGTACAGCTTATGAAAGTAAAGTAATAAAGTCAAATGGCATCTTTAAAACACTAATATCGTCTTTGTTCATTACTCCGTTCTCTCTCACTAACCATCTTCCTCTCTTTGTCCCAACAGAGGCGTTTACGTCACTTGCGGAGCATAGCAGCCCGTAACATTGTGAACAAGAATGGCTCTCCTCTTCTTGACACTTACTTCACCCTTCACCTCTGCCAGGAAGATCGGATATCACGAGGTGACTGATGCCAGCTAAACTGGCTGCTACTCTCTGATTGTTTACTTAATTTATTAATTAAAGTGCAGTGTGTAATTTCTGTAGGGGTTGCACAGACTAATCGACTAGTCGACTTCAATGCTCTGCGGACAGTAGCTCGTACATCACGCGCAGATTGCGCGCACACGGAATCATCCAGCGCAGAAATGTATTGTCAACACTGTTCTGTGATTTCTCAATAAAATAGGTTTGAAACTGAAAAGTTCAAGCATATATTTCTTAATAACTAAATCCCACAGCTTCACTAGACCTGTTAAAAAGAACAGTTAAAAATGAGCTGTTATAGGAGCAATAGCCATGTGGGCAGCGTTGTGTCATATGCCATAGCTGTGCACAAGGTGTTTATCACAGCTCCAGAGTTATTTGTGACGTCATCAGCGACTAGTCGACTTCGACTCGACTTTCATCACATAAAAGTCGACTTTAAAAAAAATCAGAAGTCGTTCAACCCCTAAATTTCTGTCACCACTGACACCAAGCAAAATTACAGAAAGTAACTGACTGTTTTCAAACAGTTTTTCCAAACAATCACCCTGTCTTCCATTGGCCTTTCAAGAGATGGACACACCCCCAGACTCACGCTATTGGTTGAGCTGTTGTCGGGCTGGTTGAACCACTCAAATAAACACTACAATGTTTTGATATCGCCATAGTGTTTACACTTTACACATGTGGAGACATCAACCTATGATTTCTGTACTTGGTTATCGGTATATTAAAAATGGGATATTAAAAATATATTGCAAAGCAAATTTAAACTCTAATTAGAAATAAATTATAAATGCAATTTAAAATGATGGTTTTCTACTTCAGTAAATGTTAAAATGTGATTACTTATGTGATGCAAAGCTGAATTTTCATCATCCATTACTCCAGTCTTTAGTGTCACATGAAGAAATCATGCTAATATGCTGATTTGATGCTCAAGAAACATTTTTTCAAGAAATATTATTTTTATCGATGTTAAAAACAATTGTGCCGCTTAATAATTTTGTGGAAAATATAAAGTATAGAAATCTTTTGTAACTTTGTGTCTTTTCTTTCACTTTTGATCAAATTAATGTATCCTTGCTGAATAAACATATTCATTTTTTTACAAACGAAAACTTACTGACCCTTAACTTTTGTATGGTATTGTATAGTGTAAGTCACATTGAATTTAAAAGCTTTTGAATGACTTCTAATATTCTCTTTTCCTTTTCCAGATTTTTATAAGAGTGAAGTCATCCGAGACTCATTGGTGAGTGCTTTTGTTTTCATATGGAGTTTGGTCATATGATTTAATGCCCGTTATTCTAAAATGTGAAACAAAAGACAGAGCAAAGCATATCATAGCTTAGCAGCGTGGTGTAGTGTAACATGATATAGCGTTGCATATCAGCATGGTCTCCTCTGGATTTATGTTCTGCTGTTGTTGGATGAGAAAGGTAAAAATTTTTTTTGGTATAATCACAAATGCCCTTAATCTCTGTTAAAGCTTGCAGGACTGCTTTAAAATGTACCATGGTAACCACAGTTTATTGCTGTGAAACCACTAAAAATATATTGGATCTTCAAACAGTTTAGGACACTTTCAGAGTCGTTGTCATTTTTATTTTGTCATTTTATCTTATTTGTTAATATTTGTGGGTGCTATTGGCAGACATGATGGTTACCACAGTATATTTTAGCCTACAGTGTTTTTTGTAAGTTTGTACATTTAAATATTGTCCCTTAAAGGTGAGGTGTGTTATTTTTGTTATGCTAAAATGTAAAAAACAGTGAAGGCTGTGGCATTTTGGTTGCTTACAGAGTCTGCCTGACAACAGCAGCAGTGGCTTAACCAATGGTGTGAGTTTGGGGCGGAACTATCTGTTTGACAAACCAATGGCAGATGGGGGAGTGTGTGGGGAAACCTTTTTGAAAACAGTCATAATTTCTGGTGCTAGTAGCAAATTACACACTTCACCTTTAAATTTTGATGAAAGCATCAGCAGGTACCATATAATTATACTTTTTAGCCAAAATAACAGTTTTAATCATGTTAAAAAAAAAGACTGAACTAGAACTGACCTGGCAGTGGATGTAAAAAGGCAATCCTGTTTCAATGTTCTTCTCAAAACCAAAAGCATCAGGACTTCATCTTTACACATATGGCAGGACTACCCTCTCACCTACACATAAAAGGCATTGATACAGCTCCATTTACTGATATAAAACAGGTTTGCTAAATGGGCTTTTCGGGGTCACACCAGCAACCTTTCACTTTTGAAACAATCTCTTTATTTTAATACTCCAAGTGGGCCTTTGAGCCTCACAAATGGATGTGGCTCCTGTCATTGGCGACTGGAAAGCGGTTTAATGACCATGTGGTCACTCTGTCCAAGCCTGTAATTCTGCTGAAAAATATTGACGCATAGCAACTGCTAAAGTGTGAAGAGAATGACCACATGATGCATAAAAGCATACAATCATCAGTAATGTGATTTATACTAGAGGTCGACCGATAGTGGATTTTGCCGATACCGATAGCTAGGTTGGACCACACTGGTTGATACCGATTAATTATATATAACCATTTTATAGTTTTTAAAATGGATACTGAACAAAAACTAAAATAGTGCTTTATTAAAAAAACAGTACTGAACCATACTACTACTACTACTACTAGTAGTAGTAGTAGTAGTAGTAGTAGTAATAATAATAATAATAGTAAATGTTGAAATTAACACCCTCTAATAAGGAACAATACTTACACAGCTTTCATTAATCTTAATGTTACAAAAACTCACCCGTATCTCACACACTCCGGACGCGTCGCGTTCAAGTCGAGCAGCAGTCTAAAATAGTTTATTTAATCACCAAAAGGACACAAGTTTACTTCAAGAATGAACAATGAGGCATAGATGAGTTTGAAGTTCGGTGTTTAAAAAACGGCACGCAATCTATATTATAGCTCTATAAATGAAGCATACAGACTTTATTAGAGCCACAGAAAGACAAACGTTTCGCTGAAAATGCACAATACACAATTCATTATGTTCATTAACAACGATTCGGGACAAATATAATGTAATTTAATGGAAAACTAGCGCTCTGTGGCACTTGATGATTATCTAATCAAAATAAAAGTGCAGCGCTGAGTCTAGGAGAACTCACCGGTATCACACACACTCCGGACGCGTCGCGTTCAAGTCGAGCAGCAGTCTAAAATAGTTTATTTAATCACCAAAAGGACACAAGTTTACTTCAAGAATGAACAATTTGGCATGGATGAGTTTGAAGTTCGGTGTTTAAAAAACGGCACGCAATCTATATTATAGCTCTATAAATGAAGCACACAGACTTTATTAGAGCCACAGAAAGACAAACGTTTCGCTGAAAATGCACAATACACAATTCATTATGTTCATTAACAACGATTCGGGACAAATATAATGTAATTTAATGGAAAACTAGCGCTCTGTGGTGCGGCAGGATTTTCTGTCGGCTGTATTTAAATCTGCGTCTGAAGTTTCCCGCTCTGTTCAGCGTGCAGTAAAATTAAATAAAAACAGTTACTAACACTTGTGTGGTGCGTCAGATCCCATATAGTCGGCACAGCATCGTCTTTTAGTTTAATCTTTCTGAAAATCCTGCGTCGAATTGTGCCTTGTTTGTAAACAATTCATACAAACACGATTAAAGGGTTCATGAACTGCCTTTATTATTTTATACTGTTCTCTGAGGTCCACTTATAATCTTATCAAGATTTTTATATCAAAAATCATCATAATTTAGAAGTAATAGGCTTTTTCCTGTCCTTTTTTGACCCCCCTCATCGGAACGTTCTGTTTAAATAGGCGTGGCGATTGTAGACTCAGAAGTAAATGCCCACTGCTATGATTGGCTAACACTTGTGTATGTTTGACAGCCTACATCCTTCATCTTTCTCTCATAAAAGACTAAAGTTTGAGTCTTTGATTTCAGTCATGCTGTGATCCCACTCCCTCTTTCTTACACCGATGTTTCCCATGACCAGTAAACACTTTTGAAATCAAGGTAAATTTTGGTTCAAAAACACATCCAAAAAAACTGTCATTTTTTTCTGTGTATTTTCCTTCAGATTCGCTCCAGAAATCCAAATGAGATCATCTTTGGACTGAACGATGGCTATGAAATGACATGAACAAAGGACCAAGTTCTTACTGACCTGCGTTTGCCTCTCGTTATTTACCCACTACTTGCGCAAAACTGTGGGCGGGGCTAAACAGGCAGTGATATAGAAGCAGGCGTTGATCATCTTCTGCAGAGGCGGGGTTTAGCCACATTATTACGTCATAAAGCCTGTCGTTTTGGATGTTTTTATAGTACAGTGACCTCTGATATGTCAATAGATCAAGGGAATTTTGATTTCTCAGTTCATGACCCATTTAAAGACTCAGTTCTAGTCTGTTATCTGGACTGTAAGGAACATTTTAATGGTGATGGTGATGATTTGAAGTATTATAGGCTATGAATGCTGTATTTATTAGTGTGATGACATGATACACCCATGAAGACAAGTTTATAGCTAAAGGCCTGTTCTGTTTTTCTGGGTGTGCTTTTCTCTCTATTTATCAAGTAGGCAGAGCTCTATTGAATTCAGTTGTTTATTATTACATTTACAAATCAATGTCCATTTAATTTAGTGTGATATTATAGCTGGTGGTCTGTAATTTTGTTAATTGCATCTCCCTGATTTTCCTCAAGGTTAGAGCAAAAAAAGGAAATGTATATTGTCATTACAGAAGATCATAACTGCGGTAGCTTTGAAATAATCACACACACAGTCTGTTTGTTACTGACACAATGTATATTCGACTTTTATGAATTGATTCATTTCAAAGCTCTCATTCACTGATTCATATACATCATCACTCAAAATGACTTCATGTGACAATCACACATGTGTTGGGACCAGTCAATCGAGCCAAGTGTGAAAGCACCCACAGATTCTGAACGGACTAATTTAAACTTTTGAACAGAGTTGTAACTGATACGGTTTTGTTTGACATAATCAGAAAACTTTGTATTCTACCTCTAACCTTCTTGGACCTCTCTTCCCCCTTTTTGTTTCTTCATTTCCCTTTCTTAGTGGCTTCCTGTCCTTCTGTACCTCTTTCCTCTTTTTTTATATTAATCATGTAATCATCCCTTCATTCCATCCACTCTGGTGGTCATGTTGATGGCTGTTTTGTATTTATTTCTGCTGACCTAGTCACTGTGAGGGTAGTTTTGTCAGCTGCACATCCTCTTGGAGGAAGACCCTCTTTAGTCTCCAGACTGCCTGACTGCACAGTTTTGCAAATCTGTTTCTGCTGTCAGTCTTTGAAAGCTTGGCTTCTCTTTGCTGCATCATTGACTATGCTGAAAGGCCACGCTCATGCGTTATTTTTAACAAAAACAATATGTTTCAAAGTCTAAATTGCTGTTGTCTTTGATCATATATTGGCTGAATTTTTGTTAACAGTTTAATGATGCCCAGTTTAAAAAAAAAAAGGGAATATCTGTATCTGAAGTAGCAGGACAAAGTTATTCCCCGAGTACCCTGTGTTCATAATTTAGTTTGTTTGTGTGTTTTCAGAACCCAACATGGCGGAGCTTAGATTTCGCAATGCTTCCGGATCTCTTGGACACGTCTGTGTCGTGTTTTGTGGTGAGAATATGGGGTGGGAGGGAAGAACAGTACCAACTGCTTATTGAGTGGAAGGTCAACCTTGATGGGCTCAGATATACAGGACAACAGGTGAGGAGTCAAATATATACATTCACACTCATCTCTTTGCTTTCCCTTTTTTATACTCTACCAAGTATAGGTTGGTATCTGACATGGCTATCTAGTTTTCCCCTAAAATCTTTTGTTCTAATCTCTAAAGTTTTATATGGGTGGAAAAAATAAGGTAAAAAAAAAAGTAAAAGTATTATTAAAAAGAATAAAGTAATTCTAATGTGCAACAGTTTTACATGCAAGAATTTATATTTTATTATATATATATATATATATATATATATATATATAAAT